TATGCACGATTTAAAGGGAATTACCTATTACTTCAATTATTTGTTTCTTATCAACTGATGTTAAACTACAAGGATTTGCATTGAAAAGACACAAAGAAAGAGCAAGCCATGGCACATCGCCAAATGAAAGAGTAATGTTCTGGTGAATTTAGCCTAAATAATTTACTGCTATATAAAAGTGGAAAAGTGGAAGGTGAACCCTTTGACCAATAAATCTCTCCTGCCCATGAAACCCTTATCTGGTCTCCTCCAATGTATTCCACACGCGGAAGCCATCATCACGGGCTCAGGCTTGTGATTTGTAAACCTTGATCTTCTGCACTCCGTGTCCTAAATATGGATAATTAGCATCAGTTTATCACGCCTCTGCATATTTTCTCTTCTCTCCAAACATGCATGCTTCTGTTGGCTGCCATTCTGCTACAGAAGATTATGGAGACAGATTGCAGAGAATGAATGTGCTAAACGAGATTAGGAAGGAATAGAAATAGCAACTTGGCCAATAAATTCCTCGTGAGAGCCTTATCATGCAATTACACGTTGACTTGCTTCACACTCTCCCAGCCTCTTAATCCAACACCCCCACCAGGAATGAAATTTCACTAATTTCTGAATTACTGCATATCCTCCTGACTTGTTACTGAGAATGGTTGGAAGGAGAAACATTGCTGAAAACAACATGTAAAACTTTATCATCAAAAGTAAACTTTAACTGTCAAAATGGGTGGTATGAATTTGGAATGTTCAAAGCATTTTAGGGTCCACGAATGGATGCACAAAGTCTTGGCATAGCAAGGGATTCAACTTTTCTTTGCGATTCACCAATTCTGCCATTGTGCCACCTTTGGTGATTCAGAACTGGCTGGGGGTGGGGGTGTTCCTTGCTCTTAAACAAGACTATCTGATGTATTTAAAAACAGGACAAAGCATCCACTGATTTTTCTGACTTCTTATTATTACTGATAACAGTCACGATGCCCCTGGATAATTCTGGGCAAATCACTTGACCTCTTTAAGTGCCACCTCCTCCTGGCTTAGATGCACCGCTTCACCGCCACAGCCCCTCCTGGCGCCAGCGTGCTGCGGCTTCTCATGCACATTAATGTATATAAATAGGAAAAGTCCTGCCTGTTCCGGATCTCCAAGAATGCTGTAATAGGGCATCTACAGGGGGAGCTCTCTTCTTCCTCTTCTTTGCCTGTTAATGTGATTCTCCCGGGGCTTTATACTAAGTTAGGTATTTAAAGAGGCCCATTAAACCTTTCGATCCACCAGGGGACTATTTATAGCACAGAGCAGCAGTCAGACATTGTGGTGCCTCTACAAAAGCAAGGTTCTGCAGCAGGAGAAAGAAACCCTGGCAGGCCTGAGCATGTGTTTACTAGAAGGAATGGAAGTCTAGCTCAGATATTAAAACTTGTGCTTACTGTTTGTGCTTGCAGAAAAGGAAAGGAGTCCAATGCATGGTGGCAAGAATTAATTAGCAAAAGAAATGCACAGCCATTGTAAAAAGAGTTTTACACGTAGATCATAATGTCTTCACTTTCTTTCCCACAAGTAATGCCTACGCAGTTTCACTGGTGAGAGGGTCTTATGAGCCATCCAGAGAAAAGCTTCCATATTTCCCTTCCAGAAGACCTGCTTGCAGTCCTGGAATTTTGAAAGGTAAAACTGGACAGCATTCATTCGATGAATAGGTATTGGGCATCTCCTCTGCACACACTGCCAGCCACTGTTCCAGGACCATAGGGTGAAACGGCAGGAGGAAGGAGCCCTGCCCTAGAGGAGCTAGCTGTGGGAAGGAAGCCGGGCCTCGAATGTTGATGCCCACGTGCTTGCCTTCTGCAAGCTGGTTGCTTTTCTACAGGCTGCCAAGAATCTCCTTTTTTGGAAGGAAAGCCAGCCCGGAACCCTCATTTACCTTGATTGGGAGGGAGGGACCCAGGGGCCTGGGAGGCAGCCCTGGGAGGCACTGGTCTGAAGAGCTAGACCCTTGGTAAGAACCTCTGGAAAATGCCTGTCTTCTGGAACCAGACAGGGAGGCGCGCAAGGGGGTCCTCCCAGGTGCCGGCACCTCTACTCTTGACTATCTGCAAGAAGACACACACACCCCACACACACACCCTGGGTGTCAGAGAAGTCCGCCCTTCCCTGCGCCTCCTCTTTCCCAAGACCCTGAAATCCAGAGGTGCCTGTTTCCAGGCGCCAGCCCTGCTGAGTGGATGTGGGGATGGAGGTCACTGGAGGCCCAGGGCTGGTTTGTTGTTTTGTTTCCTGTTAGGAGTACTGTGGAGGCTTTGCAGTGCTAGTTTTGGGAAATCTTAGGTTTGGCTTTATCTAACTCCTCTACTGGAGCAAGGCGCACAGCCAAGCCTGCTTAGACCTCCCCAGGCCACCGGCCCGCGGCAGACCTGGGGCTTGCAGCCCAGCTCAGCACCTGCAGGCGCGGGGGACTGCGCGCTTGGCGCGAGGACCCCCGCCCCGGGCAGGGGACAGAAAATGTGAAATCAGATGGGGAGTTATTAATAACTGTCCTCCCCTCCCCTCTGCCGTGTTTCCTGAATCCTTGCGCTATGCTAGAGGGGGGCGGGGGCGGGGGCGGGGGCGCGGGGAGGAGGAGGGGGCCGTTTGCCATTAATCTGGGAACAAGCGGCTAACCTCGGTGACTGGTATTTTTGCTTTTCTTTTCTTACTTTTCTCAGTGTGGGGAAAGCAGTCAAGCCCGCGCGGAGCGATTGTGAGGGGCTCTGCTGGAATTTGGCAGCGCGGAGGCTTGGAGAGAAGCCCCATGCTGGCTCCCATTCAGCCGGCCCGTTTTCCTCGAGCTTTGGAAGTTTCACTCAGCCGTGCACTCAATGGCTTCACAAAGCTGATTACAAGCTTCAGCGCATTCCTGAAGGAGCCAAAAGCGACGCAGGTGCAAACGAGCCGAGGGAGCCCCTTATCCCGGTGACAGAATGGGACAAGCTAGGAAAGGCTTGGACCACACAAATCCAAGGCTCACCAGGCAGCAGAAAGCCTGCCTTGGGAACCGGGGGTCATTATCCGCCCTATTCAGCGGGGCCCGGGGACCCTGGGGGCCCAGCAAGGCTAGCCCGGGCGGGAGCACCGCCGCCAGCGCGCGCGGGCGACAGGGGGGAACCCCGCTGGGCGCTGCGGCCAGGCCGGGGCTCAGGGCACTGGGCTGTGCGTTTGCGCAAATCTGTGTTCCGGCGGGACGGTGGCAACCCTAGTGGGGACACGGGAGAAAGAGCACGCCAGGAGGCCACGCGGCGCGTGGACAGTGCGAAACTTCTGCTCGGCGTCCAGGCCGCACGGCTGAGTCTCAGCCGGTGTCCCCAGGCCACGAACACCCAGCTCCGGGGTCGCTCTGCGCCCTTTCCCCCCAGTCCACCTTTCCCATTGGTCCCTTCCCCTGCCCGCGTGGCAGCGCGGCCCCGCAGAGAGCGACCCCGGGAGGGGCAGTGACCGCACGCGTGGAGTGGGGACGGCAGGGCACGGGGCCGTTGTCTAAGAGCGTTCGCTTGGCCGAGAACGCTTTTGCTGCGAGTTTGATTGCGCGGCGGGGTAGAGGGGCAGTTCCCTCCCCAAGTCATTAACTACGTCTCCTCGCGCTCAGGGACCGGAAACTTGCGGCTGCGGGCGCCAGAAAGAAAAGGGCAGCGCCTCGCCGAGCGCTTGGGGGAAGAGTGACTGCTGCAGCGGGACGCGGGGGCGGGAGGGGCGCAGCCTGGAGCGCGAGCGCAGCAGAGGGGAGCGCTGGGGGGCGGGGAGGGCTCGACCAGGAGCTGCAGCTCCGGGCCCGGGAAGGCCACCCTGTCCGGGTCCGGAGCCCCGCGCAGCGACTAGGAGGGCGCAACACGCAGTCCCCGCGGGGCCGGAGCTTGGAGCCCCCTCGTGCATGCCCCTCTCCTCGCGCCCTGCCGAGGCCTCGGCCCTGCCTGCCGTGCCCTGGGCCTGGTTGTGCCCGGGGTCCCCGCGGGCAGGGCGCGGGCGGGCAGGGCGCGCGCGCCGACGCTCTTTTGTCTGATAACTAATTTGAGTTAATGCGATCTTTATGTAAAGCTAACAGCGGATAATTGTCTATTTTCTCGCCAACAGTCTCCATCACAATCACTTATCTGGAAACCTGCGGTTGGATTAATCGTTATATTCCCGAGATGAGCGTCGCTGCAATCCGCAGCGAACGCGGGTGGGGACCTGGAGACGCCTCCCGGGCTCTGGCGGGGCCGGTGCTGGCCAGCTCCGCTACCGCCCGAGACGCGGTGTGCCCAGTTGTTGCTGCCCGCGGGCGAGGGCTGTAGGGCGCCTTCCCCAGGACTTGTTTGACTTGCTTTTTGCTCGAGTGGGTGGTGCGGGGATGCTGGAGGCGGAGGGAGGAGGAGGGGTGAGGGGAGGAGGGCCTGTGGGTCCGCAGCCTGGGTGGAGCGAGGCCTCGGGAGGCCCTGGGGGCATCGCGGCGGGGCCTGGGGGTCCAGGCGCAGAAGGAGCCGTCGGTGCCAGAACGCAGCGTGTTTCATTTGGGAGAAACGTTGCCCTCAGGCCCTCGCCTCCCTCCCGTCGTCTAGGTTTTTCTGGCTTCGCCCTTTGTCCCACCCACCCGTTCCCACCTCAGGTCCCTCCCCCAGGACTCCCTCCTTAAGGATCCAGGTCTCTGAAAATTATTGGCAACAGTTACACGCCCCAAGATTGAAATTCGCAAGAGAAGAGTCCCAGTTCTGCAGGCTGCTCCAGGGCTAGGGGTAGAGATGGTGGCAGGTGGTGCGTCAACTCTCCAGGGAAGAGGAACTTGCATTACAAAGACTTGTCTTTCTGAGCTGAAGTCAAAACAGGGGCGTCAAGCGCGCTCCGTTTGGAGGCGGTGGAGGGGCCGCGCGCCCGCGCTGTCCCAGCCGGAGCTGCCCTGGCTGGTGATTGGAGGTTTAACGTCCGGGCTTCAGGCGCTCTACAGCTCGGATTTGCCGGCCAAGGGGCCTCAGTGGCAACTTTTCAAAATGGTGTTTCTGGAAAATAACAAATTCAGACTCAACTGGTGACAGCTTTTGGCTATAGAGAATGAAACTGCTTTCCTTTGGCAGTGGAACTCTTAAACTTGGGAGAGTGAAAGAATACAATGAAATAAAATGCCGTTAAGATCACTGGATTTTTCAGATAAAGGACGACCCCAAATTACTCCCAAAATGAGGCTTTGTAAATTCTTGTTAAAAATCTTTAAATCTCGAATTTCCCCTACAACATCTGATGAGGGTTTTAGGAGCAAATAAGTAAATCCCACCTCGAGAATCAACAAACCAGGCTCTAGCCAAGGCTCTCCCCACGTTTTCTTCTCGTGACCTGGGGAAGGTCCCGCCCCATCGCTCACCTGGCTCTTGTCACCTCGGTCATCTTGAAGTGATCCGTGGACAATGCTGCTCCCTGCCGCAGATCCGCTGGTCACTCAGGCAGAACGCGGTATGCAAATGGCCTGGAGAGGCCGAGGCCCGAACACTGCGCCCATTGTCCCGGGCGCTCAAAGCGCCGAGCAGCTGCGCAGAATTTCTGGGCTCGGACCCTCGGCCGCCACGCTAATGTCATCATTGCAAAACATCAGATTCTGAGAACTATGCAGTCTGAATTCATTAGCAGCCTTCCCGGCGAAGATTCTTTTCCCCGTGACAAGTTTCAAAGTCCAGACCCCCTCCAACGTTGATAGGGGTAGGAAGAGGAGGAGGGACCCGGGGAGGGGGGTCTTTCGCAAGTGGGGCCTCGCGGGATCCCTGCTCTCCTCCTTCTGCTGCGTTCTACAACTTTAAAAGCCTTCCTTGGGGTTCTGAGCAAGGATGTCTGACTCGAATGACCTGAGATTTGGACATTTTCCCGTTTTCTCTCAAGTGTAGCTTTAATGTTGTGAGTTTAAATTCACCAAAAGAGGCCCAGATATCAAGTCGAGTGAATTTCACAGCATCTTCTTCTGTTTTAATCGTTTCTGAAGTCATATCCTTTAGGGTGAACTCACAACAATGCAAGTCAGAGAGACTGCGCACCCTAAAGCAAACCAGTTAAAACGTCAGGCCAGATCTTCAAGCTACAGGATTGCAAGCAGCTCATAAACTTCCAGTCCCCACCCTGAGACAAGGCGCGTGACTTAAGGACCTGCTTGCACTCCCGCTCTCCACACCCTGTCCCCTGCCCGCACCTGCCCAAATGGCCTGGTTCCTCTAGAACCTGGACGGTGGGGAAGCGTGCTCCTGATGCCCCGGGGTGGGTGCAGGGCGGGGGACCAGCGAAGGAGACCCAAGGGCGCTAGAACCCGGGAGCACAAACCACCGTTAGAGCCTGAGGGACCCTCAGATTCGTGGGAGACCGCAGGCGCCGGCAGAGGCAGTTTTCCTCCCCTGAACAATGCTAGTTCTTCTCGGCCCCAGGATCTCCACTAATGTGTCTTTCTGCTTCCTTACAGGACTCCAGGCTGCCCTCCCCTCTCTGCCGCATCTGAGGCTGGAAAAACTTCCTATAAGAAGGCAAGAGAAAGCCACCAGGTCAGAGCCGAGGACTAAACTTTAAGGTGGAAGATGGCAGAGAGGCAGGTTCTCCCCTGCACACCCCAAGGCCTCTCCTGCCCCCGCAAGGCCTTCCTTGAGCACCCAGGCCCCCAAAGTGCCTGCCCTCCTTCTAACAAAAGGAGGGCGTAGGATGTGAAGGAATAGTGCAACCAATAATGTTTTTGTAAACACAACAACAGGGAAATACATGGAGGAAATCTATTTATTGGGTGTGTCATATTTGGTTGGGGGCCGGGGTTTGAAAGTGGACTCATCTAGACCCAGGAAAAAGCTACCGGGTGGGCAGGGTAAGTGGGGGGTTCTATGTGTATGTGGATACCTTTGAACTGGAACACCATTTTGTTTTCTCCCTGGAGAATGGTACAATGTGGCTTGAAGACTCTGGAAAGTCACAGATCAGACCCTGCAGAAGGTTCCTCGTGTGTGCCTGGGCAACCTTGCCTCCATCCTCTGGCCCCAGTTCCTGCCACTCCAGGTGCAGGTAAGGCTGCGGAAGGCTAGGGACAGGGCTCCAAGTCAGAGGCCGGCTTTTTGGAGATGTGGCTGTGGGAGGGGAATCCCAGGAAGTTGCACAGAGAGGGAGTTTCTGCTAGCCTGGGTCACTGATGTCTCCCCAGGGTCGGGGGGACAGTGCCTGGCTAATTGGGGGTGTTCAAAATCTGTCTGCTGAGGGGATGTAGAGGGCATCATTGGGGGGCGGAGCTGATGATCCATGGAAGCTCTGAGCACAGATTGGGCCTGTCTTCCCTGCACAAAGAACTCTCCAGGCTACCCAGTGGTTCTGGCCAGTGCCAGAGCCAGTGACCCTTGGCTTGCTCTGGCCTTTCCCCCCTTCTCACACATGCATTCACTTGCATACGTGTCACACACATTCCTACACACTCACACAAATTCCCAGAATCAATCTCACAGACACACATGCAAATCATACATACTTACACGCGATTCACAGATGTGATAGACTCACAGGTACCCACTCTTACACATGACACAGTTGCACACTTGCAGCAGTACGCACACACACACACGCACTGCAATCCCCTTGCGTCTCCACAGTGTCCAGGGCTGGCTGAACACCAAGGCGGCTCTTGCTGGCTGGGCAGGACTTCTCATGGGAGGGAAAGTCACATAGCTGGAAGGTTACTAGCTTAGGGACAGAATTTCCTTATAGATTATCATTTCCTTATAGGAATTCAACAACTATAGCAGAAAATGGAGAATGAGGACATTTTATTTCTCAATTTCAACAGTTCCTCTTCTCTTGCGTTTTCTGAGTAGGCTCCTACCTGAGGCTGCTGAGGTGCTCTGCGTCCTCACTGTTTTCAGTGCTTCCAGGTTCAGGCTTTGCTCAGTGCATTTTCCTCGGCTGCCCTTGGACTTGTGTTGTCTAGGGTGGTGGCCACTGGCCCCCAGTGGCTACTGAGCACGGAGAGCAGGGCCCGTCTGCAGTGAGGTGTGCTGCTGGGTGTAAAACACACATGAGATTTTCCAGATGCAGTACTCAAAAGCATATGAAACACCTCAGTAATCACTTAAAATATTGATCACAGGTTGAAATGATTATATTTTAGATACTATTTTAGATACCTTAGGTTAAATAAAATATATATTGAAATTTCGCCTTCTTTTTGCTTTCTAAAAATGTAGCTCTTAGGAACTTTGCAATTACCTACATGGCTATTTGCGCATTATCTTCCTGCTGGGCAGTGTGAGACCTTCTCACAGATCCTTCAGAAAAGGCAAAGGAAAAGCAAAAATGGTGGAGAAGGCTGAGCACATGGCCACGGGGGAGGCCTGCTCAGAGCCATTCTGAAGTTGGTTTTGTAACACAATCTGTTCTCAAAGCTCCTTTTCTTTCAATGGGGCGGTGGGGGCGGCGGGGGGATTACACCTTGTATTTTACTTCTCGATTCATTATCTTTCCATTTTAACTTTAATTCCATCTAATTACCGTATTGTGATCTCAGTCAGCAATCTTACACGAACTCTGCGGTAATGTCTGAAGAATCTGGCTCCAAGTGTTTGATAATGACGAGATATGCATGACCAAGGAGACTGTGTGATGTCTGCACAGTTCGAAAGCCCGCATTCCTGTTACTTTCCAATCTCAGGTCAGCATTTTGGAACTTTTCTGCTTTAATTTTTCCACACACACCTCTCGCTGCCACCTCCTACCAAAACAAAGCAAACAAACAAAGTTTGAGCAAGAATTTACATCTGGGAAAATGCTTCTACTCATCAAGAGTGCAATTCCTTTTTACTCCTATAATTGATTCACAGCTTCAAAAAGCTGTGAAGTCATACTTTGGTCATGGAAGTTGCAGGAGACCATATTTGCCAACATTTTATTTTAAAGAAGGTATTTAAAACTATTTTACATATTAACCACGATTTCTAGAAGTGAAGTTATAAAAATCAAAAGTTATATTTTACCTTTTGATAAGTGAAAAGAGATTGCTCCAAGAATGTTGTTTTCAATAAATTCAGTATAACTGCAACACAAAAATTCTGCATACAGGCTTCATATAATTTTGCATACACACATTATAATTTTATGTATTTGAGAGTTGTATAATTAATTTTTAAAATGCAACAAAAAATATGAGGTTAAGTCTACTTTGCCAATAATGGAAGTGTCTCATAGATAATTTTGAATACAATTAAAATTTTGTTTTTATCCTAAAAGGAACTGTCCTGTTGCTCATTATTAGTATGTTGTCCACTTATTGTTCTATTTTTGGCTATCTTGAATTTAACTAAAGGAAAAAGAAAATGTGAAATACCAAGGATGAGCCAAGTTTTGTGGGTAAACTAATTGAGATGGTTGATTTTGGTATTAACTCTTTGGGGAATACCACTCTTGTTAAAATTTAAGTAAGGAACTAGTAGAAATATTTTATTCTTTAATCAAACTACATGTTTAAAAAACAATGCCAAAGAAGAAACTAAAAAAGTAGCACGTATCCTGTTAAAGAAAGAGCCATCAGCATCCCATTGGAAGCTCCAGCACTCTGACTTTGGATTTGTAGGATGCTCTGTTCGTTTAGTATATGTATTACACAGCCTCATTTGCATCATCACCTTATAAAGCCAGAGAGATTCTCATTTGCTTTCTGTTTTTCTTCTTTCCCCTAAGGACTACAATGGTTATATACTTTCAAATATTCACAGACGAGATATTCTGGATAAATAATCTAAGATTAACTAAATTAGGATCAATTGTTTCATACAGGACCAGTATGATTATATCTTGTGCTGAAATTATCTGGTTGTCAGCTCATTGCATTGAATAACATGCACTACAAGACCACTTCACCAAAAGGAAAAAAAAAAAAAAGCGCACGCACACACAACTCTTATATACAAGATTGTCTCAAAAGCAGATAAGAAAGCAACGAAGTCTTCTGGTAAATGAGGGACCTTATCTAGATTTAATATGGCAGTAGGCAAATTACCAAATGTTTCTGCAAGTTAGACAATCTGCACGGGAAAAACAGACGTTCCTAAAGTTCCCCATAATTCTAAGCCAGTTTATAGAGTTTGCACATCATATCTGTGCTGGTGGTTCTTTGTGCTTTTCTCAAGATACATTCCATATAAGGGCAGAAAAAACCATCAAGATTCAGGTCACACTGCTGGGCTGTTTGACTCACTCTAGGATGGAGATAGCTCAAAAGAAGGACGCCTGAAGTCCATTGTCGGAGGGCTACTTTCTGCTTATCTACATATTGTTTATATCTACTTCACAACATTGTTTCTCTCCTTCTGAAAAACGGCTATTAATATAAACAAAGTCCTTGATAACAAAAACTAAAATGTCAAGGGTTGGAAAAGAAGGTTCTTGAGGCTTTCATAACGAGACCACATTTGCTCAGTCAGTAGCAGAACTCTGCTTTGTTTTCACTGGGTAGCCCTCTTCAGTAATTTGGTAGTGTGAGAAAACGATTTCTTTGTCTGATCATTGTGATTATCATCCATTTATCAGGTCAAAGTTCACTGAATTGTTTGCTCCTGTCACCATTATTGATATATTATCACAAAAGGTATTTAACAGGTTGATCATTTGTAGATGAACAGAATGGCTGTCAGTACATATATTTCAGAAACAGACACAGACTCATGTAGCAGGCTGTTGCCCACCGAGGATGCCATTCCGTTCAAAAATTACTATCTTTAGAGCATATTTCTGAGAAGCAATAATGACAGTAACCTTCATCTTCATCTTCAGGACTAAACTAAATTTCTAATGCATGCAAAAAACTAACAAAATAAAATAAGGAAGCCCGACAGCCTAAAACTGGAATTTCTGATTGCATTCTAATAGAAAAGTGAGTTCTTTGAGGGAGAGTATCATAGTTGTTCGAATACTGCCGTGAGCCACAGCAGAAGGTGGGTGTGAACTCTGAGAAGCAGCTGCTGAAACAAGAATTAGATAAAGCAAAATAAGTCAGAGGCCGAGGTCTAGAATGAGGAAATTTTTTTAAAAAAAGGAAAACATTAAGCTTCATGAAAAAAGGGAGTTGGCACTCTGCTCACCCGTCTCCTGTTGACGTCAGGAGTGAGCTGATGCCCATGGGGTCAGTGTTCTCCTTCATGTCTTTAACTCACCCAGCATTTCCATCCTGCAGCCAGTGCAGCCTTGCTGTAGTGTTTGTCTGGGGCAGGTGAGATGGGGTCACTTGCATCCATGCGAAGAGGAGTCAGCGTAAATTGAAAGTGGCCCATGACCTTTTGCCCTCCTTACTTGACTCTTAGAAGCTTCTAAATGCACCACCATAATTTGACCTCAGGGTCCTGAGCATGAACCCCCAGGTGGAGGTGCAGAGAAGCCTTCAGAACACCCACCTTCTGCGCTCACACCACAGGTGTCCTTTCAGTTAGCAGGCTCACTGCCCACTGCACTCCATTGGTTTGGCCTTCCACACACCATTTCACTGCTCTTACCAGCCCACCACCCTAGCCTACCACCTTAACCCACCACATTAGCCCACCACACTAGCCCACCTCATGCACCAAATCCAGGACCATCCCAGATGCAGACACAGCACACTGAGCCTTCCTCCAAGCCTTTCAGTACTTCTACTGAACCCCTTTTCTCCCCAGAAGAAAACTAAGTACATTCCTTCTTTCCTGCTGTGCATTTTGTGAGGACAGACTGGATGGAGGCCACAGAGCATGAGTCAGATGCCCGTCACACCTGGTTCCTCTCTGATCTGAGCAAACCTAAGGTTTGTGGCTTTTTAAAATGTCTATTTCGCATGTTTTCTCTTAAGGAAGAAAGGTGGAGGCAAGGGCGGGAAGCGCTTTCAAAGCTCCTACCATGAGGGGATCTTTCTGAAGATCTGTGGCATGGTGTTCTATTTCTAGTCCAAAAAAATTAACTGATACCTTCACTGGAGATTATTCACAAGCTTACACAGTAACTTATATTCCTTTGAAAAGACAGGAAAAGATGGTAGGGTAAGAGTTCCGTTCAGTAGATGTTTGTCAGGTATCTACCATATGTATGGTACTTTGCAAAGTGCAGGATACAGAAGTAAAGAAGATGTTGGTCATGAATCACGCTCTCATGAAGTTTACAATCTTATAGTGATGAGACAGTAAACACTTGTTCAACATGACAACTGCAATTGCAGGCAATTCAGTGGGGCACTTAGAAAGGAGTGGCACTCTCCTCCTGGGAGATGAGAGAAAGTTTCCCAGGATCTCAGTCTTGAGGAAAGAGGAGAGGAAGGGAAAGGCATTCTTACAGGGGGAACAGCATTTACAGAGGCACGGGGCAGGACGTAGCAAAACGCCTTCGGGAAAGTGGGCCCCATTCAAAGGGGCAGAGCTACAGGAATAGACGCTTTGATGATTCTGCAGAGGAAAGGATGGTTCAGGGCTAGACAGAGAAAGTTCCCCAGAGGAAGATGGAATCCGCTCAGGGCCTCCAAGCAAAGCCCATGCCTGGAGCAATGTCCTTGGATGCTGGGAGTGAATGGCCTGGGGAAACCCTGCATGTTTGAGCAGCAGCCTCTGGCCTCCCGGAAGTGGAGGGTCATGATTTTTGAGTGAAACAAGGAGGCAAGGGCATGATTTCCTCAAGCCACACAGCAGGAAGCAGAGGGCTGATGAGTGCCGTGAGTCAGGGGTGAGTTTTGCCAGGTGAGTCCTGGGGCAGCCGGCACTGTGGGATCCTGCGAGGTGAGTGGAAGGGCTGGCCGTGGGTGAGAGACGGAAAAGGCAGGTGTACAGCAGCCCAAATGCAACACTGTTCACTGAGGCACTTTCTGAAGCACAGATAGGGCCCACACGCACAGGAGAAGGTTTGCTACATTGGGTAAGAATCATTTTCCGAGCTTTTTTGAAGAAAAAATTGAATTGCCAAAATTAATATCTTGATCAAATATAAAATCGTTTTCCCATTACGATGGGTAATAAAAATATACATCTATACTTCATGTTTAAGTGTTTATAGATGACGTTTTTGGTTGATTTTTCAAAGAACGAAAGAAATTAAAACTTAATAAAATGAGAGTATTTCAAAAGACGTCTCAGTACCTTTTGTATTCTGGTCTGGAGAAATGTTTTCACTGTGAACTTTGTGAACACAAGCTTTGAAATACTGATGACTTGGCAGTTAGCTCACACACCTTGAGAAAATTATATTACATCTAATTTATACAAACAGAAACCACATATCTTTCAGAAGATGTTCTCTCCTCTTTGGATTTAATTGGTGGGAGAACAGAAGGTAGAGCAGGGCTGCCTCATGTGCTTGCCTGGAGAGAGGTGGAGACACTCCATGCAGCCTCTCTGTGTGGCATCGCAGGCTCCAGCCCCGCAGGCAGCACACAGCCCAGCTATGGACACCCGGCATGGCGGCCTGGGCCAGCGCTCAGAGCCCATCCTCAGCCCTGGCCCTGCACCAGGATGCATGCTGCGTCTCCCACAGGGTCACCTCACCCCGCCTTCAACACAACCTCCCAGGAACTTTGCACCCTTGTGACCACTTTAATAATGAGGACACTGCAGGAATCCCGGCTGCAACAGGGCCCCGAGTTCACGCTCAGCCATGCTGCTGGGCTGCATCCCAGACACTTGGAGGACAAACACAAGACGGAAAGAGATATGCTTGCCATCCATCAATGCTGATTATTAACAAAACAACACAATAGTGACACCTTCCTATTTTTTTAAAACAATATGGACATCTTTTCCTCAAATGAGTAGAGAGGATCTGGAGAAAAAAAAAAGCATGATGCTGGTGAGCTGTCCATGTTCACACATTTTAAAAACCCAGTCAAAGTTACTGTCCTTGTTTCCTCTCCAGCTCAGTCCTGGAGGGAAGGGCCCCAGGAGGGCGATGCGGGCAGTGGGCTGGCAGGGATTAGGCATGGTCTCTGTGTGCCCAGCACCCGGCACATGCCCGTCAGTGCAGCCCAAGCACTAGCACCTCCTTTCGTACCAAAAGGTATCATGCCTGGCTCAGATGACCAAATACACAGACAGCCCAGTGGAGGGGACGAAGATGAAGGAACGTGGGTCAGCAATCCTGAACATCCTGTGCTCACAGCAAGGACACAAGGGAAACCGAGGCCTGCTATGCAGGGAGAGGCATAGAGGAAGGGAGGGTGGGCTTGGGGAAACCTGAATGGAGCCCTGCAGTGGGTGGAATTGTGGCCCCTAGGAGACGGGTTGAAGTGTTAACCTCCAGTACCTCGGAATGTATCCAGCACAGCACCCTATGGGCACCTTCCATTCTCCTGTCCCTGTCCCTTCTGTAAGGCAGGAAGGCTGTCTCCACTGGCTTGGACCATCAGCTCTTAGGACGGTGCCTCACACCTGCTGGACTTGGTTGTCCAGGAAGGAAAGAAGGGAGGGAGGAACGTGGGGGAAGGGAGCAAAGGATGAAGAGGGAGAGGAAGAAAGGAAGAGAGGGGGACTACACATTAGAAACGGAGTCATTACAGAAGTCATCATTGGGTAAGACGCATGCCCATCTCATAGACTTTGCAGGTGTCCACGGCGTACTTCAGCTGGAGTAGAGCCAGCTCTGGTCCACTACAACTTTGTCCTTAGAGGCGGGGAG